AAGAAGAAACTTTCCAGAAATGCTTCCTTATTCTTGGCTTGGATATATCAATGCTCAAGTACAAGCACAAGCCATTTTATAGGCACAAAAGACTCAAAACCCAAAACAGTCAAATGCAACTCTTAGAAACTGTAAAGATAAAATAAATGGCTACATGAACTACGCTGGCACGTTAACTATGCAGGTACATGACTAAAAATAGGAGATTAATAAATCAAGTTTATTTTTCCAACACCCCCCCTTAAACTTGATCACCTCTGGTCACTCGAATCCAAGCATGCAGTCTTGCAAAATCTTCAAACTTCAGTCCCTTAGTGAAAATATCTGCAATTTGATCATTAGTCTTCACGTAGGCAAGCTTTACATCTTTCCTCTCAATGCACTCCCTTATGAAGTGATATCTGGTGTCTATATGCTTGCTTCGATCATGAAACATTGGATTCTTTCCCAAAGCAATAGCTGACTTGTTATCTATGTAAATGGTTGTAGCTTCATCTTGAGGTATGTGCAGCATCTCCAACAAGTTCCTTAGCCAAATTGCATGACAGACACATGATGCAGCAGAAACAAATTCAGCTTCACAAGTAGAGAGAGTTACAATGGCTTGCTTTTTTGAACACCAAGTGAAAGCAGTGTCACCCAAGAAAAATAGAAAGCCGGTGGTGCTTTTCTGATCATCAACATCACCACCCCAGTCATTATCACTGTAGCCATAGAGTTTGAAATTTGTGGAAAAAGAATAAGTTAGGCCATAATCAATAGTACCTTTGATGTATCGAAGTACTCTCTTGGCCATCTTCATGTGTGTTGAAGTAGGTGCCTCCATGTACCGACTCACAAGACCAACACCATAGAGAATGTCTGGCCGTGTGCAAGTCAAATATCTCAGATTTCCAACAAGGCTTCTATACAAAGATGGATCCACCTTTGTACTTTCATCGTACTTCGACAATCGAGTTCCACAAGCAATGGGGGTGCTTACCGGCTTGCAATTTGCCATTTCAAATTTCTCAAGAACTTTCTTTGCATAAGCTTCTTGAGAAATGAAAATCCCATCTTCATTTTGCTTTACCTCAATTCCAAGGTCGTAGGACATGAGACCAATGTCGGTCATCTCAAATTCTTGAGTCATTGCCTTCTTAAATTCTTCAAAGATGTTTGCATTATTGCTGGTGAAGATCAAGTCATCAACATACAAGCACACTAGCATAAAGCCTCTAGTTTTGTCTTCAACAATCATTGGGATATGTTGTCAAGGGACATGAAGAAAAAGTCTTGAAATTGAAGAAGGCTTTGTATGGCTTGAAGCAAGCGCCAAGGGCATGGTATAGCTTCCTCTTCAAGATAGCCATTCAAGAAAGCGGACTTAACGTCCATTTGATAAATTTTCCACTTGTTTTGAGCTGCCAAGGAGATAATCAACCGAATGGTTTCCAAGCGAGCAACAGGGGCAAAAACCTCATCATAGTCAATGCCATATTCTTAGATATAAACCTTTGCAACAAGCCTTGCCTTATATTTCTCCACTTTCCCTTGAGCATTTTTCTTCACTTTGTACACCCACTTCACGTCAATTGCCTTTTGCCCTTCCAGAAGAGTCATCAGCTCCTATGTGCCATTCTTTTGGATTGCTTTAATCTCTTCATCCATTGCATGCTTCCATTTCTTGTCTACTGTTGCCTCTTCAAAATTTAACGGCTCGGTGTCAGCAAAGAGACAAAAGAAACTTGGATTATCAACCACCTCTGTTTCTTCATAAATATTAGCAAGATTTTTTGTACGTAGTGGCCCTTCAGAAGAACAATCCTCAAGTGATTGAGATCCATGAGGAGAGTGAGGTGGAGTAACAACATCTTGCCTTGTGTCTTGTTTGGATTCTCCTTCTTGCAAAGGAAAGATGACATATTCGTCATTTTGAGAGACATTCCAATCCCATGAGCTTCCTTCATCAAACTCAGCATCTCTACTGATTACAATCTTCCCATTGGATGGATTGTAGAACTTGTAGCCTTTGGAGCTTGAATCATAGCCGATGAAGACAAATTTCTCACTTTTTCCATCAAGCTTTGATCTCTTCTCATCTGGAACATGAATAAAAGCAATACTTCCAAAAACATGAAGGTGAGAAACATTAGGCTTTTTACTATTCCAGGTTTCTTGCGGTGTCATACCTTGAACACTTTTTGAGGGAGAAAGATTAGACAAATACACAGCACCTGCCACTGCTTCTGCCCAGAATTTCCTTGGGCATATTCTTGCTCCTAAGCATGCTTCGAACCATGTTAAGAATGGTTCTATTCTTCCGCTCCACGACGCCATTCTGTTGCGGAGACCTCGGAATGGTGAGGAAATGACAAATTCCATTATTTTCACAAAAATTTTGAAATTCCTTGGAAGTGAATTCTCCTCCTCGATCAGTCTTTAAGCCTTTGATAGAGTTACCACTCTCCTTCTCGACAAGAGCTTTGAATTTTTGGAATGCTCCAAAAACTTCACTTTTTGCCTTCAAAAAATAAACCCAAGTCTTGCGAGAAATATCATCAATGAAGAGCAAGAAATAATTAGCTTTACCATATGATGATGGTTTGATTTGTCCACACACATCCACATGAACCAGTTGGAGTGGCTTGGTTGCTCTAAAAGTGGCCTCCTTTGGAAAGCTTTTTCTAGCTTGCTTGCCAAGAAGACATCCTTCACAGAGCTGGTTGGGGTGATTAATTTTGGGCAACCCATTCACCATCTCTTCACTCGCTAAAACCTTCAAGCCACCAAAGTTCAAGTGACCCAGTCTCAAGTGCCAAAGCCAAGAAGCTTCTTCAACACAAGTCTTCAAGCTCCTTGGATGATCCACGTGAACATTGAGCAAAAACATTCTATTCTTCTCCATAAGTACCTTCGCAACCAAGTTGTGTGAACCATCTCTCAAAGTAAGGCAACCATCCTTCAAATGAATGTCATACCCCATCTCAAGTAATTGTCTCAAGCTCAAAATATTAGATTTCAAAGTAGGCACATAATAAACTTGAGTAATTAAAAGGTGACTTCCATTTTTCGAACGGATGAGAACAACTCTTTGTTGCCACTCATGTGGTTAGCGGCACCCGTATCAAGGTACCATGCTCCGGTATCTCTTTCTTCTTTAGTTGCCATCAACAGCAGCAATTCTTCTTCTTCTTTTGCTTTAACATAATTAGCCCTCTCCTCATTGTTGGTGGAGGAACTCCTACATTCATTGGCATAATGGCCATATTTCTGACAAGCATTAACATTGAATATTGGACTTGTCATACCTTCTTCAACTTCCTCTCTTTGAACCATAATTTCCACGTCCTCGTGGTTGATTGCTCGACCCTTCATTGTTAAAATTTTGGCCACCTTCATTTCTTCCTCGGCCATGGCCAAAATTTCCTCCCCGACCACGACCACGACCACGACTTCGGCCTCAACCTCGACTTTGACCTCTTCCTTGAGATCATCCATGCTCTTGCTCTTGTTCTCCCAAAGAGACCTTAGTTTGGAGAACTTGGGCCACCGGTTCTTGCTTCCTTTTAAGTCTTTCTTCATATGCTTGCAAGGACCCCATGAGTTGATCGAGGGTCATGGAATCCAGGTCATTTGATTCTTCAATGGCAACACTCACAAACTCAAGTTTTGAGTCAAGTGACCTGAGAATCTTCTCCACAACATGTACATCTTCCATCTTCTCTCCATAACACTTCATTTGATTGACAATGGAAGACACTCTAGTGAAATAGTCGAAAACAGATTCAGACTCCCTCATATGTAAAGATTCAAACTCACTACGAAGAGTCTGAAGGCGAACCTTTTTCACTTTGTCAATTCCTTTAAAATTATTCTCAAGAATCCCCCAAGCTTCCTTAGCCTTTGTTGCAGTAGCAACTTTCTCAAACAGAGCTTCATCCAAGCCCATGTGTTTGATAGAGAGGGCATGTTGATCTTGCTTTCAAAGCTTCTGCAAAGCATTCTTCTGATTTTGATTCAAGACTCCTTCATTCTCTGGTTCATCATAGCCTTTCTCAACAATCTCCCATGCTTCCTGTGATCCAAGCAATGCCTTCATGCGGATACACCAATGTCCATAATTCTCCTTTGTAAGTTTGGGAACTACAAAGGGAAAAGTGCTACTCATCTTTGGAAGTTAGCTCTGATGCCACTTTGTTGGAAATAAAAATTTGGGAGGAAAGACCGGAGAAGAACACAAGAAGAAACTTTCCAGAAATGCTTCCTTATTCTTGGCTTGGATATATCAATGCTCAAGTACAAGCACAAGCCATTTTATAGGCACAAAAGACTCCAAACCCAAAACAGTTAAATGCAACTCTTAGAAACTGTAAAGATAAAATAAATGGGTACATGAACTATGCAGGTACATGACTAAAAATAGGAGATTAATAAATCAAGTTTATTTTTCCAACAGTATGTGAGCCAAGAAAGTTTAATTTGTCATCTGCACTGACCTTTTCCTCAATATATTTCTGTAAATACAATATAATAGATATTATGTTAATTTTAATATTTATTTGAGAAAAGCATCATTCATCTTGAAGAATGAAAGGAGAACACTAACTAACTAACGAACTAACCAGTACATCTAGATTCTGAAGAGGCTGTATGCTTGAGGAAACGATATTTGCAGCCTAGAAAAAAACAATTGAATAAAATTGAAGCCTATTATTAATAGAAAATAGTGTTTATCAACCTTACCCCTCCTAAAAATTAGAAGAAAAATTATTTCAAAATTACGTCGTTTCAATAAATTTTTATTGAAAAAGATTAAATTACTCTATTTTTAAAGCGTGCATTAAGGTGATTTTTATCTCTTTTTTTTTCTTTTAATTTTTTGAAAATAAGACAAACAAACACTAACCCCTTATTAATAAAATCAGCATACTCAATATTGACGAAGGAGGGGAGGGAAGCAATGGAAATTACAACCTTCTGTAGAATCTGGAACTCTATTCTGCCAAGCAAAATTTCAGCATTCAACTGGCAATTACTACTGGACAGGATTCCAACTAAAAAGAATCTGTTGACAAGAGGGATCATCAAAGACAATCAAGATTGCAAATGCGGATTTTGTGGTGAGGAAGAAGAGGATTCAAAGCATCTGTTTCTGGAGTGTAGTATGGTCCGATGGATATGGATGGCTTGTGCAAAATGGTGGGGTATTAATGTTACTTTGGGAGCGGACTGCTGGAATACCTTTCAAGTGGCTGGAAGAGAACTAAAAGAGAAAGGTGTTAGAGAAGGGTGGGATTGCATTTGGAATTCTCTTGTGTGGACAGTGTGGCTGGCTTGAAATCAAAAAACATTCCAAGGCAAAGAGATTAACAGGGAGAAGCTGCTGGAACTCATCCAATTAAAATCGTTCCATTGGATCACAGCAAAAAAAGAAAGGTACGCCTTCACTTTAACAGATTGGTTTCTTAATCCAGTGGCATGCTTGGAAGATGGCCTTAGGAAGAGAAGGGTACCATATAAATAATATGTGGGAGGGAGGGTAATGCTGATAGTTGGAAGGCTATCTGAGTTTTGTTTCGAAGGATTAAGGTGCTATGTAATGGGGACTCATGTAGGATTATTGAGCATGTAATGGGGACTCATGTAGGATTATTGAGCAATCATTGACTGCAGTGGAGTTCAGCTATAGTCAATGCATGATCAGTAGCTTGTGGGTCAGTGGGTGTGTCGGGTGTGGGTTGTGGTCCTGAACAGGGAGATTTCTTGAGAAGGCAAAAGAGAGCAGATTCCCCCTCACGGGTGTTGTGTCGACACTTCTTCTGTGGTGTCGACACCTTGCGTTAACTTTTTGATGTCTATCATTTTAGAATACCCCTTGTATTCCGCTTATTAATTAATAAT